AAAAGAAAAGAGTATGAAAGGTAAGTCAGTAAGTAGGTAGTAAGAAGAAAAAGGAGCAATAAGTGTAAAAAATATTGTTAATTCTTCATTTCAATTAGGCATCTTTGATGGTTTCTACAAAGAATATTTTGTGATTCCTATAAGGAGTTTCTGGTCATGCCTATTTAACATTTTCAGTAGTTGTGTACACATGTTCAGAACAAAACAAAAAACATTTTTTAACACAGATTTCCGAAAAATGTTGATTTGTAAGTAAATTATACTACCTACCTACTTTTTTTACTTTTAACTATTAAAATGAAAAATGTATTTTGTTTTGGTGCCAAAAATTTATCTTAACGATGTATAAAACCATAAACATATAATTAGATGTAATAAATGGGCATCATTGTGTCATCGTTTTGACTTGGTTGGTGATGAATATGGCAAATGTAACAAATCTCAAAGGTTATGTTCCACTCATTTTGAACCAAATTGCTACTTATCTTCTGGTGATATCCATAACGATGTCATACCAAGTATATTTAGTTGGACTGCAACATCTACTAAATCTTATCAAAAAGATACCTCAAGTAACTATTTTATTAGTATTTTATTAAAATTAAAATTGAATTCAATAATTTAGTTTTAATTTATATTTAATAGGTACAAACATTTTTGAAACGTCTGCATCACAAAATATTGCTCAGGAAAACGTTTTCGACTTGCCAGGTACAGTATGTAGTGTTGGTATACCTAGCGGTCTGTTCCTCGCCAATACTTGGACACACAGACTCCAGTTTAGAAATTAGAGATATATCTGGAATCAGCAGACCAGCATGTACTTCACCAATAACTGGTAAGAAAAATAATTTACTTTGGTTCACTTTAGAAACAAATATATATTTATTGATATTTAATGATTAATAATTAGATGATCAACTTCCACAATCTTTTTCTTCAAGTTGCTCAACGTAAACACATAAGACATTATCAAGGTACACGCCAAGAAAAATTAAATTGAAAGAGCAACTAACAATCCAAAAAGAAAAATATGAAAATCTACAGAGTTTAAAAATTAGAAAAGAATTATCCTGATGCTCTTAATTTATCTAATTTTTATTTGATGTGTGATAAGTTTTTAAGTCCGGAAATGTCAACTTTTCTTAAATTAAAGTCAAAATTAATACATTTTAAAAGTAAAGGTCGTAGATATACTATTGAATTTAAGCGATTTGTTTTGACAATATGGTTCTTTGGACCAAAAGTTTATGGATTTTTAATATCAACTTGGTGCCTTCCTAATATTCGAACGCTGCAAAGCGTCAGTGAGCGCTGGGTGATCAACGCAGGTTCAACAACTTTGTATTTGAAGTTTTGAAGTTAAAATTAAAGAATATGTCTAATGAATCAAAACAATGTGTTATGTGCATTGATGAAATGTCACTAAAGTCTTTTGTATACTATCATATAAAAAAGATGTAATTCATGGCATTCATGATACTGGATTTATCAAAACTGATGAATTAACTAAATCCGTCATGGTGGTAATGATCAGAGGTTTAAATGACTCATGGAAACAACCATTAGCATTATATTTTGTTAGCACTAGCTGTGTCGGTGATGATTTGAAAAATATAATTTTTAACTGTATTAAAAGATGAGAATCAATTTCATTTAATGTTAAACTTTTTAATTTCAGACCTTGGTTCCAACTTTAAACGTTTTGCAACATCATTAGGTATATCTTCTAGTAAACCATACTTCAACGTTTGTACTAAAGAGATTATTTTTATGTTTGGCCTCCAACACTTGTTAAAAACTACAAGAAATAATTTTTTCTTAAATAAATTTCAATCTAGTGATAAAGTAGCAGAAAAAGATCATCTTTAAACCTTGTTTGACCTAAATTCCACTTTGCGCCTTGCTCCAAAATTAACTGAAATTCACTTAAATCCTAACTCATTTCAAAAAATGCGAGTGAAATATGCTTGTCATTTAATGAGTCACACAGTTTAGAAAGATTAATGTCTTAAGGAAGATTACCAACAACAGCACACGGTACTATAGATTTTATCGATTCAATGGATAAGTTGTTTGATTTATTTAATTCTCGTTCATCTTCTAATGAACAACCAGAAATTTATCTTGTCAAATCATTGATTCGCCATTCAAAAATTTAAGTTTTCAAACTGAATTTTTTAACAAAATGTCTGGATAATTCACCAATTTACAAATTTTAAAATTTAATACAATGACTAATAAATAAGATACTATTATTAAGATGTAATATAAAAATGTTCCATGACTGGTTAGTTTCAATTGCAGGCTTACTTCGACTCCATTCAAATTTATCAAATGAGAACTATAAAGTTCAGACAATTTTTGCAAACAGACTAAACCAAGGTTGTCAGGAAAACTTTTTTGGCATAACACGAACTCAAAATGGTAACAGTATAAATCCTACTCCAATTCAATTTCAAAGAATATTTAAAAAGCTTTTTTGTCTCAACTATTTTCAACATTTGGAAAATGCTAATTGCATCGATGATTTAGATAGTGTTTACGCCAGCATAAACATAAATATATATATATGTGTGTGATATAATGAGTTCGCGGGCAACGGTCACACAATCATATGCATATTGTACATTATAATTTATAAACAGTCTTATTATTATTATTTTATTACTGGTTTAACTGTATGTTAATTATTATATAACATAAGTTAAACGCGATATCAAGGATGCGACAAATCGCGATACTAAATGGTATAGCCGCCCAAGAGTTAGTCCGTCGTTATAGTCTTACGCGAACAGTTGTCGACTCAAAAGTATAATTATGCACCATTGTCAACGTTAAACATAACATGATGATCAGGCTCAAATAGGCGGTGTCATCCAAATACCTACTCAAGATATTCATTTAGTCATTTCACGTCAACACCTTCACGATAGAGGAAATATAATATACTGTCGATATTATTGTATTCTTTTTTGTATTATTATTATTATATTTGTGTGTTAGTGAATTATACAGGTACAGGTAGCGGCTAGCCAGTTTTACGCACCAACAATTTGTAAGTACCTGATAATTATTATTATATTAAGTATTAACGCATGCTAGTCAGCAATTATTAATTATTACATATTGGTTAGTCGGAAGGGCTAAAAGTAAATCAAACTATGTATTGTTTATTTTTATTATTGTATACGGAGTGGCCGTAAGGGTTAAGCTACCGTTTAATTATTATACTTATGTACACGGTTCAAATAGCCAAAATATTAATATCGTAGGCGTAGTTAGTCGTATGGGCTACACGCACTTAGTTTTTATATTTTACTAGACTCAAACAGTCACAAATACGGTACGCAATATTGTACATATATATAATATATAATTATTAATTAGGTACTATTTTTATACTGTTGTACATTTTTAAGCCGGACGGGCTAAAGAAACACATATTGTTATATATTGTATCATATTAATTTTCGTAATTATTCTTTATATAATTTATTACTATTATTATTGTTATTGTAAAATATAGAGGGCATAACATTATTATCCAATCAAAATATGTGTTATCATTTTTAGTGAAGAAATAGCTCAGGTAAGTAATATAATATACACGCACAATTTCCAACGGCTGTTAAACATAATATTAATCCGATTAAATTATTTAAGTCGGTGTCCGGAAGCGCATAATATTATTTTATGCATCTGGCCCCAACAGATAGTGTGTTAACAAATTTGGATGAAGCTTCCCTATCAAAGGTAAATATATTAATAACTGGAAATAGTCCCATAATAAAATGTCCCAACATTGCTTGTTGAAAACACAACACATAAAAATGTAGAGCTGCCAGAGAAAAATGCTTTTACATACATGTGTGGCTTTTTGATGAGTAAATGCTTAAAGTATCATAGTTGTGAAAAATGCTTTGAATATGCACATTCGTCATTAAACCTCAAGGATAATATTCTTTTCATATACTTTAAATCACTCGCTGTGGACTCAGATTCATTATTTGGTAGTTTAATAGTTCCAGGTTCTGATTTTTTTCACTACATTTTTCAATTGGACAAACTTCTCAATACATTTTTAAAAAAATGTATGCTAGAAGAACATGTAGGCAGAAATTAAAAGATAAAATGACCAGTCATATTTTTTTTACTCATCCATGTGATAGTTATCCAAACGAATTTTTAGCAAACCTTTTTATAAGATTTAAAATATAATATAGTACACTGACACATGCAAATAAATGTCATCACAACACTAGATCAAATAAATGTTGCGGGCCTTGGCATCTCCGCATATATAATATAATATTATAACAAATTGTTATTAACAATGTAATATAGAATATATTAACCTTTCATAATGTTATTACGGTGTTAAACTCCGTATATATAATTGACATAAATATTATAACAATGTAGTATAGAATATGTACTATCTGCCCCTATCTGTGTAATAAATCACTGGACAGGTGCACGATTAGAAATCATGGACACGAGTCGCTATTCTAAGAATTGACAACAACTATCGAAACACACACACACACAAGCTGCACGCGCCGCTACAATCAAAGGAACCGCGTCCGGAAGCGCATAATATTATTTTATGCATCTGGCCCCAACATTTTGGTGACCTCGACGTGATCGTTACGACCTATAAATACCGACCAGAACTGCAAGGAACTTTGGAAAGGTTCTGCAAAGTGTACGCGAAAGGGAGTATTAAGGCGTTACGATCCGTAATCAATATATAAATATATTATCTGAGACACTATTAGGTAATATCGTGATTTATCGTATACCAAGCGAAACATTGTTATAGGCTCCGTTTAAATATAATGTAATATTAGAATAGTAGGTAATAGGTATTGTTATATTGAGCTGTATAATATTATTATTTAAATAGAAATTGATAATATCGTTTTGATAGGCATTTTTTAAATTGATAAATATTTAGAATATCGTTTTAGTAAATCTATTTAAAGTACAAGGCGGACATGGAGCTCGAAGGTTTACGAAAAGAAATAACCATTTTAAAAAGAAGACGTGGAGTAATAAAAGGGTCCCTCACAAGAATTCGTAGTTTCATTAGAGATTTTAACCTGAGAGACCAACCTATTTCTTTAATAGAATTTAGACAAGATGAACTTCCTCAAATAAACAAAAAATTTGATGAAGTTCAATCCCAGATTGAGTTGAACACAGAAGAGTTTGAGCAAGAAGAGGAAGAACGTAACAGCTTTGAAATTGAATATCTTAACATAAGGTCTCAAATTCAAGAGCTAGCGAACATGGAAAAGGGTAATAGTAGTTCTATAGCACACAACATATCTAATGGGACAACATGGACATCGAGTCGAGCACGGCTAGCACCTATATCTCTTCCTTCATTCAATGGTGACATACAGGAATGGGCATCATTTTTTGATTGTTTTAGCGCACTAGTACACAATGACGATAGCTACTCACCTACTCAAAAGTTTCATTATCTACGTACCAGTTTATGTGGTCAAGCACTGGATATGATAAGAGATATACCTATTACAGAAGCCAATTATGATACAGTGGTAGAACGACTTAAGCGGCAATAAGGCAATAAGGGCTTAGTTGTACAATCCCATATCCGAGCGATACTTGACAGCTCACCCGTGAAAGGGGCTAGTGTTTCCGAGCTACAACGGTTAAACTGTCATATCTGTTCACACGTAGCCTCCCTGAAAGCACTTGGGCAACCGGTAGATCAATGGGATGCTTGGTTAGTTACGATAATTATGGGAAGACTAGATATAGCTACTGCTCAAGCCTGGCAATTGAGTTGTCAAGACACTGAACTTCAAAAATATGAAGATTTGGAAAATTTTCTTGTAAGACGATGTACAGCATTAGAGACCACAGAAGCGTGGAAGATAGAGTCCGAAGAAACAAAAGATTTAAACACAAAGAAGCATGGAAAATCCTCAAATATGAAAAGAGCACTAGTTGCAACAGATGCGAAGAAAGTAATTACGTGCGTTTGCTGTTCTGAAAATCACAGACTATATAATTGCGAAGCATTTAAGAAATTGGAGGTAGCCGCACGTAAGACATTAGTTCGACAATCCAGTTTATGTTTCAATTGTTTGGGACCATTTCATGCTGCCGATGCATGCAGGTCTAAGTATTCGTGTCAAAAGTGTAAGCTTAAGCATAATACCTTGTTACATTATGAAGCCGCTAACGAAGCTATAGCCACATGTAATCCAGAGGGAGGCGCCGCCGCCTGCGTAATGTTATCTACGCCCAACACCCTACCAAAGACGTCGTTGCCCATAAGTACTACAATCAACCATGTATTTTTAGCAACTGCGTTGGTAACAGTGAAGGACAGATGGGGTGGTTACAGAGAGTGTCGAGCTGTTTTAGACAGTGAATCTCAAATTAATTTTGTTTCGAAGAGACTAGCAAATATATTACAACTTAACGCGAAGCTTACAGCGTTACCAATAAGAGGCATTGGAGGTAATGAGACACAGGCTAGGTCAAGCCTAGAATTAAAGGTAAAATCACGATTGAAAGACTTCTCGGTTAATCTGATATGTCATGTACTGCCAGTAATTATATACGAATTGCCCCCTGTGCCCCCACCAGCCAGTGGATGGAAATTTCCTATTGAGTTGGCGTCAGAGTTGGCTGATCCAAACTTCTGTCAGTCAGGGCCAATTGACTTATTGATTGGCGGAGGAACCTTTTTTGAATTAATGGAAACGGAACGTATCCCATTAAGAATCGACAATATGTCCCTGCAGAGCAGTAAATTTGGATGGATTGTTACCGGAGAAATGAAAAATATTTGTTAATTAAGCATGGGGAAGGTGCTTGAAGATGATTGGTGGGCAATACAAAATCATAAAGATGCAGATCATGGGTGGACGTCAAAAAACAATCAAAAATATTTGGAAGAGCAGCAAATGGTTCAACATTTCAGAGAAAATACAATTCGTAACGAAGATGGACGATTTGTAGTTCGCCTACCGCTTAAAGGTGATAATAATAATTTAGGAGAATCCCTTGCAGTAGCTACGTCGCGGTTTCTCAGCATAGAAAGAAGACTTATGCGCGACAGTTGGTTAAAAGAAGAATACGTCAAATTCATGACCCAATATTTAGGTTTGGGTCACATGCAAGAAGTACAGCATGAAAACAATATTCCCGAGCGCTCTTAGTACTTGCCACACCATGCAGTGATTAAGGCTTCGAGTATAACCACAGTAGTGAGAGTAGTTTTTGATGCCTCTGCGAAGGGTTCAAATGGAATATCGCTCAATGAAGCGCTTATGAATGGCCCTAAAGTACAAGGGGACCTGTTTTCAATATTGGTTCGCTTTAGAAAACATCAATATGCTCTGACGTCGGACATCGAGAAGATGTATCGGCAAATATCTGTTGATTAAAATGATTGGGACTTACAAAGAATACTTTGGAGAGCAGATCCCAGTGACCCATTACGTACTTATCGGCTTACGACAATTACCTACGGTACTACCCCAGCTGCCTTCCTCGCAACGCAATGTTTGGTAGCATTGGCAGAACAATGGCAGGAGCAATTACCTAAGGCCGCTAAAACCATACAAAAGGATTTTTATATGGACGATCTTATGACGGAAAATGGTGCTCTAGTTCAGAAACCGTGCTGAAGAACGTGCGCAGGCTAAGTGAAGACCCATTTTTCACGCTAGAGGTCAAGGACGATGATAGTATAAAATCGTTAGGGTTGGAGTGGCAGCCAGCTAAGGACACGTTTCGTTTCAGGACTAACAAGTACCCGACACGGGATAAATGCTCAAAAAGAACCTTGTTATCCGACTTGAATAGGATATTTGATCCGCTAGGGTTCTTATCTCCAGTATTACTTCAGGGTAAAATATTTCTTCAGCAAATATGAGCCATGCAAGTAAATTGGGACTGTACATTGTCTACCGAGTTACAAAAACGTTGGAAGACATTTTACAAAGAGCTGGAGCAACTAGAAGGTTTTTGTATACCCAGAAAAGTCATTCCAAGTAAAAGTGATGAAATTCAAATGCACGGATTCTGTGATGTATCTCATAAATAAACACAATACAGTGTTACCTACAATCGATGCACAGTGAGCTGCAGTCATCCCTACGTTTTCCCAGTCGACGTACAAGGTACCTATAAATTATATGTATATTATATTATATATGCTAGCTGGAAGAGGCCCCCAGTATAATATGAGGGTGGGTACAGATTTTGGAGAAAGAATCTTTGGAATTATAAAAAGTAGCACCTGTCGGTCGGTCAAAGGTCAAAAGTCAGACGAGGTGATAAGGATTTTTGATAAGGCTTGGCAGTTGGCGGTCTCGTTTCGGAGGCTAGAGTGTTTGAAATTTGGGTTTCAGTGTCTAGAAATCACACATTGTCCATGAATATCAGCAATTAAAATTAGATTCTCCATCACATATCCGGTGCTTTTTCGTATGTAAAAAAATTTATACTCGAAATCCGTGCTTGAATGTCTAATACATTTTCCAAACAGGAACCAATTCGGCTACTCTTGTTTCATTATATTATATTTAGTTAAGTAACTTAAATATTAATAAACATGCCTCAGATTTTAAATTTATAGTATAAATTGTCAATTTATAAATAAATTTATCATTTGAACAATGTGATCTGCTGACAAGATATTGTCACAGCAACAAGAATAGTTTCTAATTAACAATTCCTACCATAATTTTAACAGTTAATTTCTAAAATAATGTAGGTGAGATACTTTATTTACCATTATTGTATTAACAATCCATATATTGATTTATCAAAAATCTTGTCGGCTGAATATTAACAAGATAATAATCAAAGAAACATTTGTTTTTATTAATATGATCAATTAAATAATAATAATAATAATAATAATAGTATATATTACGCAAATCAAAAAAGACAGTACAAAAGTATAGGTATATATAAGATAAATTACAAAGATTTGCAACTCCCCTATAAGCAGATGGGGAGTTTTAATTGAGTTCAATTATTGACAATTTACATATATATTTCTTAAACAAAATTTTCAAAATTACATCCTATGTTATGATAATCATAAATCTATTTGTGTAAGATCAACATTTTTTAAGTACAATTTCAAATCTTTTACATTTTTAAAATTACATATATTTATTTTAAGTATTTTACATAATCTGATTGCAATTGAAATAGCACTTTTAATGCCAAACTGTTTATGGCATAGAGGAACATATTGATTAATATTAGTTTTATAACGCGTATTATAAATATGATCAATATGAACAGTATTATTTTTAAAATTATGATATGTGAGAAATAAGTTCTTATAATATAAACATCTAATATTAAGTAGATTAAAAACATTGTATACAAATTCATTATTGGTAAGCCTTGGTTATTATTAATAAGATATGACTCCAAATCACTTATAAAAAGAACTACATTATCATCAGAATATCTATAAATACCAAGAAATACGTACTATTATTAATTTTAAATTTTAATTCTAAGGAGTTACAGTTACTGATTATGTTGTCTCTTAAATTTATTAAATTAACTTGCTCTTTAATCAATATAGTTACACCATCACTTTTATTATATTTACCTAATGAGTTAAGTGACTGATAACCGTTTAAAATAAATTTAAAAGCATGGACAAGCTACGTTTCACTCAATACAATTACATCGAAATCACAATTGTTTGATTTCAGAAATAATGCTAATTCATCTTTAAATGTAATCTAATACTTCTAATATTTAATACTAATAATGAAAAAGAATTTTCATAAACAACATTTTGAGTAGGTAATATTATTATTTTCTAAGACTATGGAGTTAATATTATGTATCAAATTAATTTCATTTATTTTATCTACATCCATAATAAAATTTTAAAAACAAAATAAATACATTAATATTACGTAAGTACTTACAATTTATTAATATCTAATTCAGATTTAATTTTTACTATTTTTGAACCATCATCTTTTCTGACTAATACTCCAGCATTATTGGTCCAAACATATTTCTATTGTTTTTCCTTGCAAATAGTAATAGTTTTCGCAAATAACAATCTTTTGAATTTGGTAAGTCTCTCATTACAAAATATTTTAACATCCGGTGACCAGGCATTAGCAACCATATTTGCATTCAACTATATCTTTTTTATTTTGCGTAGAAGATCATTTTTTGTTTCCAAAGAGTTAATCTCAGCCATTAAAATTCCTGAATTATTTTCTTTTGTGACAATTCTGTATGCTTAATTAATAATAACATTACAATTCACTTTTTTGGCAATAGATTGAATTATATCCGAGCAATTTCCATTTAAAATTTTTGGTATGCCTTTAATTTCGATACAATTACGATGATTATATTGTTCCAATTTATCAAATTTAATCTTTAATGAATCAATTTCACTATTAAGTTTCATATTTTCCAATGTAATTTTAGAATTTTCAGCCTTTAAGGTTTTTATTTCATTTGATACTGAATCAATTTTGGAATTAAAAGAATCAAACTGATCACTCATAAATTTCATGGAAGTCATAATCTCCTGTAGTTTATTATCCTTACTAGGAGATAAATCCAACTAAAACTTTTCTTTACTGGTAGATAATAAGCAATATTCACATGAGAATCTTGATTTCGTGTTGGAAGATAATTTTTTAAAATTTACCTCCGTGTAACCAGCACAGTAAAAATGAAGATTTTTTTTACAAATAACACATTGAATCGAATATTCCTTAGTTATGCTATCTTTACATTTAATGCAAATAATAGGCATAATAATTTATAAGTGTATAATCTACTCACTGGAAAATACGTATTAAACACGTATACATAATCGCGTACTATGAACTTAGTCGGATAACATTTATCGATAACGGAAACAACGTGCGTTCCTTATGACGGTCAAAACTGAACTGAACAAAATGAGTTAAGTTGACTGATGGATGGTTAAAATAGCTAACCAATTTTTGATCTACTGTTCTATAGATTTATTAGCTATTCAAATGCATTTATAAACCAAAAATAGAATACTTAAAATCGTATTATTGTTTATATTCGATAAAAACACTAATCACTGTAAAGTAAAAAATATTTTACAGGCATGATTACATGTTTATCTTAACCAAATATTTTTAATTGTGTAATTATTATATTATATTATATAATTATAGAAAAAGTATTAAGAAAACACAAGAAGTAAAAATTATCATAGTATTAGATACTTTAAGTTTAAAATATTGTAAAGTATAAAATAAAAAATAGCTGTTAAATAGGTAATAGTTAATTAAGAATAAATATGTTTTAATTGATTATGCTATAAATTCATAACACATAGATAATAATAATTTAAGTTTGTATAATACAATTAATAATTAAATATAATCATAGTTATATAAAGCTGTATTACATCAAATACTGATTGAAAAGTTTTATAACTTATACTTGATTAATTTACTATTAATTTAAATAGGCTAAAAAGTCTAGTAAAATGTAATATATAATATTGAATAAAAGAGAACGACTATGATACTATTTTATAGATTTTAATTTTTATAATGTTATCAATGAGAAATTACATATCATTAATTATTTTTCAGCAATTTTGTCTAATGCGATATCAGAATATAAATCGTTTTGATATGTCTGAACACCCATAACTTCATTTTTATCATTTTCTGCTATGCTTTCTTGACTTCTTTGACGATTTTCAATCATTTTTGGCAAATCAAAATTCATTGAATTGTTCATTTGACTGGCTGAAAATATAAAAGTTGTTATTAAAAATTAAAAATTAAAAACTCATTGTTTCATCCAAGAATTACTTGCTATGCTCAAAACAGATGTATCTGAATTGCATGTGACCAGGGACACCCCCTAAGGGCGATCATAACTAACCCCCTCCCCCCCCCCAATCAATGTTAGGAACTAATTGTCTTGATGCCTCCCATGGAAACTAATTGATCATGAATGAGCATATGAGCATCTATTAACTAGTGGCCAGAAAAAAAAAATAATTTAAGAAAAAACTCAGTTTTTGAAACAATCGATTTTGTTTTTTTAGTAACTCAATAATGATTTACTGTAGATACTCTCACCAAATGTTAATATGACCATTATCCATACAATATAAGATTTTAAAAATATTTTTACTCTTTGTCCAACTATTCATGGACACTTGACATTATCAATTTTTTTTAATCAAAAAAAAGTAAAAAAGTTAAGCAATTTAGCTGAAAGTTCTTCATAAATGGTTCATAATAAACCAATTAAAAAATATTGAAAATGAATTGTTTCTTTTTATAAGCATTTAAGATTTCAAAATTTCAAAAAGTTTCAAATTATTTTGTTAATAAAAAATTATTACCTAAATATTCAATTTTTATAGCAAAGGATAAAAAATTTTTAACACAATATTTCATAAGATTTTGTAATTTTTATCAACAAATCGCATAAAATAGAGGCATAGTTTAATTCATGGTTATTTTAAGTTCAAATTTGGAAGAAATTAAATATTTAAACAAAGAACAAACAATTTTAGATATTTTATTGTAACTAAAGAATATTATTTGTGGATACTTAAAACCATAAAAGTATATTATTAAAAGTATTATTTTATATTATGATTTTTTCTGAAAAAAATTAATTTAAGTGCAATGTTTTAAGTTTAATTCAATTAATTTTATTTTGGTGATATTTTTATTTTGATGAGTAAAAAAATATTTACATGTAGTCTGTGAAAATATACTACCAAAATTTCTAGATTTGATAAACGACTACCTAGAAAAAAAACATAATCAATTTTTTTCATTAGATAAATTATAAAACTTATTTACTAATATGATATTTTAAATTTTTTTATGAAGATGTATATTGGTTAACACATATATTATTTCTATATGTAGCTATTAAATGTATAAATAATTTTGAAAATTACCATGGTTTATATTTTATATATGAGGTGTATAGCTTTAATTTATAGCGTGCAATTCAAAAGCACCAAAATTAAATAAAAATAAATATAAATACCTTGCAGAATGGGTTTATCTTTGATTTCAAATTGTTTTGATGCCTCCAACATTTCTGCAGCTGTTGTCCTAGTGTCCTTACGCATATATCCTCCAGAATACTATACATCAAAATGTTAAAAATATTAATTTAAATAAAAATTATATTACACTGGCCGCTCATAGTTTTTGTAGAATATACTGCTACCAAATTATCCCTAAGCCTGTAGTTTGTTTGTAAGAAATTTGAACCATCTTGAGGAATTCGCAGTTTACTAGCAAGCCTTAGTGGAGGTAATGATATATTGTTTACTTCAAGACCCGCCGTCATTAATACCTAAAAATTTTAACAAAAGGTTATTAACTCTTAGGTCTTAATTTAAGTTGAAATTAAAATTAATAAATGTATAATTAAATAGGAGTTAAGTTAACACATTTATTTTTGTAAATAATGGTTCATTCTTTTGTTAGATTAGAACCATTAATGGTTAAAGACCTTTTCTTTCACGATGTTAAAATCTTATAAGGCTACATAATAAAATTTAAAAAAATGATATTGGCAATAGGTAGTGGCAATTGGTTTTAGCTAAAATGATCTTACATCGCTCGGAGGAGGTCGACAAAATGTTCCGTCTTGTGCCAATTGTATGGCAATTTTCACATCATCGGCATCAACATTCTTCTTTTTTGCAAAGTTTGAAAATGTCTTAGCATCGTCCAACAGTTGAGTTGTGTACCCTAATAAATAAAATAAAAATTATTCATAAAAGTGAAAAACATTACATTTGTTTCATCATAGGTATTCATACTGTAGTTAAACTCCAAAAGATGATTTAAAACTTGTTGGTCATATTCATCAATTCCCAAATCTTTCATCATCGACACAATGATTTGAGTGTCTTTAGGTACATTATGTTTTCCAGATTTTCCTTGTGAAGACGCCATTTTAGTAAGTCAAATTTGCATGAATTATTGTAAATAATATTATAACAACAGAAAGTTGTATCAAAGATTAACAAACAGTTTTACTTTTTACTTTTTTAGGTACTATATCACTGACCACAAGAAATATATTCACACAGTTATGCACTATACACTCTGAGGCTATGCCAATCTTACCAGACACATATGTCGGGATGTCTATTGTTTATTAAAATGGCTAAAATCAATAATCTCATATTATCAAATCTTGGGTCACTGTTATTTGCTCCATAAGCCATAAACACCAACACCGATAACACGATTGATAACACAAATTCTGTATTTCTGTTACAGATTAATAATTATTGTCTATTGATGCATTGGTTTTATAGTAATGTGTGCACTTTACTACTTTAATAATACTGTACTCTGTACTATAATGTAATCTAAAAATGCAATTATAAAATCAATAGGTTAAAGTGGACTTTACATACCCCCTCACGACTTTCAATTTTTGTTTATTACACTACTGTGTAAATATCGTTTACCAGAAACTATTTATTTAAAGAAGCTATAGCCGTTTCCAATTTTCTGTTGTACAGGAAAATAATACTAAAATAGTGAGTATTGCAAGATAGTCACAACGCTCATTACTCATCGTCATCATATAACACTTCACAGAGCTAATAGAATAATAGGTAATAGGTTTTCTATAGATGGTGTTAAATTTGAATTCAATGATATAATATCATTGTATAATATAAAACAAACGATTCTGAGCGAAGACACGTTGTCAGCCAAGGATATTTTATATTACGAGTATTTATTATATATATATTATTAAATATTGTATTGTTATTATTGCTATTGTAGCTGGTTGGTTAAATTAATATTATTTTCGTATTAACATATTTACATTTAATAATATACTTTTAAAGTTTCAAGTACCCACAAATAATATTCTTAAATTGCAACAATACAACTAAAATTATTATTTTTGGTTATTTAAAGTATGTAATTTTTTCTCAATTTGAACTTAAAATAATTATACAAAAACTGTGCTTATATATTTTTTAAATTTTTTTGGTTACAGAATAAATTACTTTCGTAGAACTATTGGTTTTAAATTTTCAATATAAGAGTTGATCATTTTGAATACTTTTTAATATAATAAATAATATAAAAGGGTGGTTAAATTTGCTTCCAAAAATGAGGAGGTTTTAAAAAATTGGTTTCCATATTTTCCTCCACATCAATTTCTACTAAAATTATGTCTATTTTCATGGAATATTGTAGAAAGGCTACCGAGCAAATAATCGACAACGGAATTATTAAATTGTAAAACAAGTCATTTCTAGGTATGTAATTACAAAAAATAAAAAAAATATTAATATAATGTCTAATTTTTCTTTTCTTTAAACAGGTATTTATTAGTTGCTGAAATGTCCTATTCTTGTAAAAAAAGATCATATTATAATCAATTTACTATTTTATTTATATTAAACATAATACCTGACAAATTTTTTTTTTTTTTTGGTTATCCATATATTATTTATATTAAAAATTCTATTATTTTATTTATTATTTATTGGAGAAAAATGGAAAGTGGAGGAAAATGGTAAAGAATTATTTTTATTTTTAAAAGGAGATGTGACAGTAGAGGAAAATGGTATCTCATTTTTGGAAGAAAATGGCCACGGACATTTATACATTTTAAATTTTCATTTAATTTAAACGTTTTGTCAAAATTTGAACTTTAAGCGGTTATTAAAAAATGTTTGCCATATATTTTTAATATTTTTCAACTGCTATTGGAATAAAAATAATACACCAGGACAATTTGTATTGAATTTTAAAGATTTTTGAACCAACAAATAATATTTTATAGAAAAAAAAAACAAATTTAAAAAATTTAAATGTTCATAAACAACTAAAAATGAGTCAAAACCATTTGAAAATTGTATCAAGTATCGAAAATGATAAAATACACATATGATGAAAATTTCAAGTATCTACTGTATTTTGTTTTTGAATTACAATAAAATAAAAAAATTATTCCATGAGCTATCAAGTGAATAAACAATGTTGTAAAAATTTGAACTTCAAACTATTATCAATATTTAATTTGACATTCCTGTGGAAATTTATTATTTGATAATTTACAAGGAATCTTATATTCAATTTTTAAATCTTAGATATAAATAGAATAAATTTTATGAATTTCTACTTCAAAATAATTTGCGATTTTTCGTGATTTTTACGAATGTTGTCAAAATTTGAACTAAATAAATTCTACATTTGGTCTTGGGATACTTAGCCCTCTAATTGCGCTTAAAATGGGGAGGGGGCCGAGGAAATTACCCAAATTTACGAACATTGAATTTTCATTGATATTATCGTTTGTAAATAAGGTTTGTTTTGTACAGACAATATTTATTTAATTTGTGTATTTTTATTTTCATTATGTTTTTCATTGATATTATAAATATTGATAGTAATTATTCATATACTGTCTTTGTGTAGTAATGTATACAATGATGGATTGGCTCATCTGGATACCGGGAAAGTGGGATTGGTAAATTGGGTGCAAGGAAAAAAAAGCTAGTGGATAAGTGGGTGGTCTATGTTTGGACGAATTGCCTTTTTACCCGCATAATAAAAGTAATGTGTTTGGGTGAGTTTCTTAAAATGTGTTTGAGCGAGATAATATAAAAGATATAAATGTAAAGATTAAGATAAATATTATTATATAAAATCTATCAATTGTATACTTTTTGGTGAAGGTGTATATATATATGTTAACAACTCAAAGAAATAATATAGTAGGGTAATATATAGCTAGGTATACATATATAGAAATAAATGAATAGATAAAGGGGGAAAAAATAAATAAATAATTTTGTTGGAAAAAGGAAAAATAAATAATTTTGTGAGAAATAAAGAGGAATATATATATATTAATAAAGGGAAACAATTGTGTTGACACTTGACATAAAGTGGAATATATTGTATTTGTATTAGGAAATACAAATTTTTTAAGAGGATAGGAAATAAGGGAACTTCATTGAAAAAGTGTTATAAAAAAAAAAAAAGTTACGAAGTATAATTGAGCTATAAAATATATTGAATTGGGAATATTGAAATAAATAATTGAATATTATGTACATGTGATTAAACCGTATTTTATGGGAGTTTTTGGGAATATTGAAATAAATAATTGAATATTATGTACATGTGATTAAACCGTATTTTATGGGAGTTTTTGGGAATATTGAAATAAATAAATGAATATTATATACAGGTGATTAAACTGTGTTTTATGTGAGTTTTTGAAAATATTGAAGTAAATAAATTGAATAATTGAAGGTGTGCATACAGTAATACAAAAAAACAAAAAGATTTTATATGAAATAATTAAAAGGAAAAAGATTTGTATAGGTATGATGAAATATTAAGATAATAATAAAGATTAAAAAGTATACAAGTAATTTTAAGGCTAGCCTAGAAATAAGAAATAGTAATAGATAAATATTAACAATTATTTTGTAATAGGTAATTATTTTAATAAAACTAACCAATAATAAATAGATAAAATCGTATAATAATATTTTATTTAGAGATAGAAATAAAATTGTACATAGGACGCGCGTCACAATATTAAATTTACCTCGATATGTAATAAATAATAGAAAGATATTTTTGTTTAAATACAGATAACAATTATTTAGTAGAAGAATAAATAAATAAATACATTATTGTGTTTATTGGGATAATAAAATTAACGAATAAATAAATAAATACATTTATTTTAATTATGACAATTTTTAATGAATAAAATATATATTGATGAATCAAGATTCAGATAACTTATCGGATAAGTCAACGGACGATTTAACCGAAATAATTGAGGATAGTATAAAATAGGTTACTGCAATTGTTACCGATACAAACTATACCGTTAAGATTTAGATCGAATTGGATGTTATCCAGGGGCTAAAGATTTTGATAAAAATAGATTTTTACAAAAAATAGGAGGTAGACCCTATACAGAATGAATTGTATCACCAATGAGCGTGTCTACTAGGTCAGGAAGAGAAGGAACACGATCCGATTCGGACGTAATGCAACGTAGAGTTAAGCCCGATTTACACAGTTACGGCACGGCACGAAAAATCGTCCAACTATTCACACTTAACAGTCATCGTTCGTCATCTACCGTCAAAATATTATGTAGTCACTCATTACAAACCACTAGCGTAGCCGAGTAGGTACTTAAATATTGGTTTACGCAGCTAGGTAGTCGTTCTGTGCAGTTCTGCAGTGTTTAAAAAATTGTAAAATGTTCCGAAATTTTTAACGTCAGATTCTGCTATTGTAGCAATTTTATTAGACGAAGAAGAAGAAAGTACGAAGAATGTACAACAAAAGTCTGAATGAAAAAGAAAAATTTGGGTCCATGATATATTAAAAAAACGGAAAACCGAAAGTGAATTTGCAACCCTATGTCGCCAACTCGAGGATCATGAAGACAAGTTTTTTAAGTACTTCCGAATGTCCAGATTTCAGTTTAACACACTTTACCTAAAAATAAAAAATGAAATTTCCAAACAAAATACGCAGTTTAGAGAGTCAATACCGGCTAAAGAAAAACTAGGTGTATGTTTGAGGTAAGTGATTTTATTATATTTAATAGAAATTGTTATTTAATTTTTATGTGTCTATGAGTAACTACATTTATAATTAAGCTAGTGAGATTGTATCGTATTTGAATTAGGATGTAGTTCTAAGTTCGTTGTGTAATACCTATTCAAACAAATTATTCCTATTTTAGTATTTTATAGTATTTGATGACATTTTCAATAACTTCAGTTTTTTAATTTTTTTTATTTA